TGAAGTAAGAGACTACAAAAAAATCTGTGAAATTACGACGTAACTCGATTTTAGATTATTTGTCATTTACGCCTGTACGTGCGGAGACCGACGACATGTTCGCAGCTATCTCTTTCCTCAGAGGGGCTACTCCTTTATTATCTGATGACGGCGTTGCGGGGAAAGTATCGAGTCAATCTACTTGTTTAAAAGATACAGTCGTCGTGATATATTCATCATGAATGAAACTCTTGTGAAAATCTTGTTTTTCTTGATAACTATATATTTTTATAATACGTCATACCTTCTGATATCGTTTCGGTTATTTTATGCCTTGGATTCCATCCAACTGCTAATTATATTCGGACAGTTTCATAATTTTTAACTAATGGCCCACACCGACCATGATGTCAATGAGTTTATAAAGATGTTGGAAATGCCGCCTTCGATTATGTAAGAAGATTAAAGAAATGGTGTTACAAATGAGCATTAGAAGAAGCATTAAGGATAACATTATTAAATGTTGTGACAACCGTTCTCACAGACACTGAACCCTAATGTGTTTCTTACTTTTACGGTCTAAGATGCAGCAGAGGGTCTTTGCATCAACGTCTAGACGTACTTGTCATCAAGGGATCCAGATAACCACTAAACAACTGAGCCGTGCAATAAAGGATTTTAGAGTAGCTATCATCAATAACAAGCCTTGTGTAAGTGAAAACCTAAATCAAAACTATAATAATTTTTCGAAGTGTCGTAGCCACCAAGGAGTAATTGCTCTAAGGCCCATACGAGTCCTGGGGTAAACATGTCGATGTTAATGCCTTGGTTTAAGGGATTACTTCTAAAGTAGGAATGATTGATGTAACACTTTAGGTCTAGCGGATTAAAAATAACCTGTAAGTTTCAGTGGCGTATCCTTATTGCATTTGATACTACAGCTCGCAGGAAACATGATGATTCCATACACTGGATTTGCGAAATGTGTCCAGAGTTTTGTGCGTCCTGAGGAAAGGATAAAATATGCGGCCCCCCTCACATTAGTTGAGACTTGTGCGCCCTTGTTTACTGCTTGTCGAGAGTCCTACTTCTTCAAATGAGAATCGTCAATTTTTTTAAACTGATGAAGTGAACCTCAGATCAGGAAAATTGTTTTGAAGATCCTGATTCTATTTTTAGTACGTATATTGTATGAACAAATATTGTTCATTCTCATTATAAAATTGTAAGAATCATATTCGATTTAGGATAGTATCGTCAGTCGTTCTTACAATTGTGGCCTGCTTGCTTTTATCATCTGTTTTATCAGCCTGAAATTTCTGAAGATTCAAAAAGCAAACATAATCTCAAAATAGAGCGCTGACACGGAACAGTAGAAATCTAGAAAAACCCCAGACTTTCTGAGGGAGAGAAAAGACTATGAAAATCAAGGAGGCCGTAAATGCATCCTGCAATTGTAGGAACGACGGACGATGCGGCCCTTATATCTAGATAAATTCCCATGCGGGTTAGTAACAGCATGCTAAACCAAAAAATATACCAACAAACCTCTCCGAAGCAAGAAACCCTTAGCAATAACAAGCTCAGAATCAATTTCATGCAATAAATTAGAAATGCAATGTTCTCTATTTCTACTGAGTGCTCTGTTAATCCGTTTAGCATCCTTCCGATTCTTCATCCTACAAAAGCATTTTTTTCCTCCACCTATAGAAAATATACAGTATGACTTAAGATGGGTAGGAAGTAAATACGAATCAGTGCAAAAACTTTGTTTAAAGTTAGCAAGATTTAACATCTTAAAGTATTTTACAAGTTTGATTGTGTCACATATTTGGGTAAAATTATACAGGGTGTTTAAATTTACTTTTTAAAATAGTTTTTTTTAAATATTTCGAACAAGATTTGATGTATAACAGTGAAAATTGGTATACAACGGTTTTTTGGTACGACAAAACGAACCATAGTTTTACTGTAGCCGCTAGAGGGCGCTCTCTACTGTACCTGTAGTGTATTAAAATGACCGAAACTTTTTTCTTAGTGCAATTTTTTGCTTTTAGAATAAAAAAACTGATTCTTCGCACTTTTCAACGTAAAAAAGCCCTCCTGTGAATTTTCGTTATAGTTAGCCGTTTTTGAGATATTTCGATTTTTAAGGTTCGATGCATTTTTAATTATTTATGATAAAAAAACGTTAAAAAGTCAGTATCTCGATAATTTTTAGAAGTAGGCTGTGCCTGCAAATATTTTTGAAATTGAAAGCAGAATAAGGTTAAACGTCAATTAGTTGACAGTTAGTTTTGTTGTCTGTTGAAACCTGAAACGTTTTTTTGCAATTATGAATACACGAAATTTAGTTTCTTTTACCGGTTTTTTTTTGTAAGTTTTATAAAAATGTCATTTTTATTCTCCAATCAAGAGTTAGCGGATATTCATTTTGTGTATGGCTTTGTAAATGGAAACGCAGCAGAAGCAGCCAGAGAATACGCACGAAGATTTCCAAACAGACGACATCCAACTCGCTCAGTATTTGTAAGAGTGCATCGCCAAATAATTGAAAATGGTTTTGGAAATCTTCAAAGGGATCAAAACATAAATGTTCGTCAGCGCAGATTTACCCGTATGATTCTGCGTGAGTTTGATAGAGATCCGACCACAAGTGTTAGGAGAGTTTCTGGTGCCTTGGGAATTTCAGCAAGCCATGTTCACCGTGTTCTTAGAAATGACCATAGACGTCCTTACTATTTGCAACCTGTGCAAGGACTACAGCCAGGGGACGGAGAACGAAGAAACACATTTTGTCAGTGGATTCTTGATAGAACTGATAATAATAGGGAGTTTTTAAGTAACGTTTTATGGACCGATGAGTCATGCTTCACTAGACGTGGAGTGGTAAATTTTCATAATCAACATATTTGGTCGCATGAAAATCCGCATGCAGTTCGGGAAAGAAATTTTTAGCATGAATTTAGTGTGAACGTGTGGATTGGTATCTACTGTAATCGACTATTTGGACCCTACCTTTTGCCTGCAAGGTTAAATGCTGCGACCTTCTTGGAATTTTTAAAAGCTGAACATGCAAATATGTGGGATGATGTTATGTTAGATTTATGGTTGTCCAGCTCATTATTCGAGAATAGTTAGAAACTGGCTGGACGAAAATTATCCAGAAAGATGGATCGGCCATGGAGGACCAGTCGCCTGGCCTCCACGATCCTCTGACCTAAATCCATTAGATTTCTTTGTGTGGGGATTTCTAAAAGGAAAAGTGTACCAGACTCCCGTAACCACAAGAGATATGCTAATAGACAGAATCAGGAATGCATGTGATGAAATAAGGCCTTATTTGAATAATGCTATACCACGTTCGATCATTCGTAGATGTGAATTGTGTATTGAACGATTGGGTTTACGTTTCGAGCAACTACTTTAGATTTTGTATGTTTGTCCTAACTATCCAATAGCATTTTAGTTGTAAACAATTAATTTAATTTGTTAAAAATAATATTGGAAAACTAAACAAATTCATATTCTGTTTTTCTGTGTTTATCTGGAGTTAGGAATTATTGCTGTGTTTAAAAACACAATCTAAACGATCACCTTAATTACTTGTAATGCCCAAATCAAAAATGTAAAAAAATATTATTTTCGCATAAATAATTAAAAATGCATCGAACCTTAAAAATCGAAATATCTCAAAAACGGCTAACTATAACGAAAACTCACAGGAGAGCTTTTTTATGCAGAAAAGTCCGTAGAATCAGTTTTTTTATTCAAAAAGCAAAAAATCCCACTAAGAAAACATTTTCGGTCATTTTAATACACTACAGGTACAGTAGAGAGCGCCCTCTAACGGCTACAGTAAAACTATGCCCATGGTTCGTTTTATCGTACCAAAAAACCCTTGTATACCAATTTTCACTGTTATACATCAAATATTGTTCGAAATATTAAAAAAACTATTTTAAAAGGTAAATTTAAACACCCTGTATTTCGGAAGCCACCCATTTTTCGACCCATGTTTATATAGACTTTATGCATTAATTTTAAAAGTTCTATCGAATCTTAAAGTTATGCAACAATAAACTGAAACACCCTGTATAATCGAAGCATTTCTTGGTCGCCTTTTTCCAGTATGGCAGCGCAAGCGGCAAAGATACGACGCAGACAAGTAAAAATTGGGAAAGAGCACTCAAAACACAGAGAAGCAGTTGTTTCCAAAATGTGGGTGAAGCTAACATCACTAGAGTATTAGGGTAAACTTTGCCTTGCTTGTACCTCCAAAGGAGGATATCAACTCTTCAAAACTTTCCAGATGTTGAAATAGTAAGGCTTTCAACATTATTTTGACTGACCAGGTAACATTGTCAACATGTATTTGTTGGGTTAATAATTCAGTCAAAGTTACACCAGTAAGCCCTATGTTCGATTCAAAGCTGTACGAAGCCCAATTTGAACGTCTTTCTTAACTTTGATACAAGCGTTATTTGAACTATCGATTTATTGTAGGTATAGTATTATGCGATCTGTGCCAATAGAAGACAGATGTTGTATATAGTATACCTACGCAAATGATGAATAAACACGAATAAAGTAAATACAGTCCTGCACACAGTGCACAAGGTTCGAGAGTGAAAAATCACAATGCAAGTGAATAAGCCAATCCTAAAAATAAAACGGTTTGTCCCAGTTTTTATGGCATTTTAACTAGATAATTCGTTTCCTGAAAATGGCGAACAAAAAGAAAAATACAGCAGTCCGCCTTTGTGCGCGATTATACTACGTAACCTAATTTTGAACGTTTAAAATTAGCGGCCGTTAACTTTACGGTTATGCTTAGAACTATACGCCAAAAAACATCTGATCGTTATAACACATGAAAAACAGTATTATTTATAGCACCGATGTCTATAAATATGATCACCTGAGAAACCTGTATCGTCGTTTAGGCAAACCACAACACACATCAAAACAAGTGATTAGTAAGACGACAGAGATCGGCACACTCTGACATTTAGACTCACCGTCGCTGGACGTGGAAGTTTGCTTCGTTATGTCTACGAATTCTTGCAAATGCTTAGGCAGTTTCTTTTTCCTTTTCACTTCTTTGCCGTCAATGATAAGCTTCGGTTCCGCCTCATCCTTCTCTTTTTCAGCGCTCGATTCTTTGTCCAAGCTTCTGATCTTTTCCAGCTTCCCTTGTTCTTGCTTCTGGTGTACTTTCTCCATGAACTCATCTTCAATTTGAACAGGATGTATAACCTCTTTAGGCTTGTCTTCTTTAGATTCATCCTTAGCCGAAGAAACCTTGATCACCTTCTGTTGTCTCCTCTCTTGCCTCTCAGCAAACTTATCCAAAAATTCTTCGTACATCTGCTGGCGGAAAAACTCAGTAGGCATTGCAGGTGTTGAAGTAGGCATCTGCTTACTCTCAGCGAAGTCTCCTTTCCGGGAGTACCGGTAATCCTCCGGGTGGAACTCTTTAGAGGGCGCCATTTCGGCGTTGAGCCTCCGTCTTTCCTCCTCTAACTCCTCCAATTGCTTTTGGATCTCCCTTTCTTTCTCTTGAAGGTGAATCATCTGACGTTCTAGGCGTTCATTCGGCAAGGACGTTCGACGGTGCGGCGCCTGTGGCGGATTGCACATATTACGCAGGTTATTTTCGGGCACGTCGAATGCAGTGCTCAAGTTACTTTCGCTCATGCTCTTGTTCCTTGCTAGATTCAGCCATTCGTTCAGGTTTTTTGCGCGGAGTCTGGCGTTATCAGCGCTGTTTATCCTTGGTAACGTGTTGTGGGGTCTTGACGTTTCAGTGTTCAGTACTTCCAGGCTTTTGTGCTGTGCCCTTTGCGGTCTGGGGTCTTTTTCGACGAAATATAGGAATTCCGGATCTTCGGTGTTAGTAGATGGTTCTTCTCGGATGATTGTTAGGAGACGATTAGTGGTGGGTATTGGTTGAATACTGGTAATAGTAACATTTTCGTGTGACGGCGTTTTTTTTAATTCCTCAGAAGTGGTTCGTTGGTAGTACTTTTCGTGCAGGTCAAGTAGCTTATCTGCCTCTTCTGGTACCTTCCTGCATTTTTCAAGCTCCTCCTTTTGCTTTGGTGAAAGGCACAGCAAGTGGTTCGGGTCTTTTTCTGAAGGAAGCCCAACCCAGTCTCTGGATATCGGCACATTTACTTCTTTTCCCTTATGCTTTTCTTGCGCGATGGGTATAATAACTTGTTTAGACGCTTTTTGATCTCCTGCCATTGGAGCAAAATTTACATGTTTAGTTCCTACGGTGTTTTTGTGCTTCCTTTCACTTTCTCGAGTGATTGGAATTGAAAATTCGTTTACTTCTCTAGTTTTGTTAGAGCCTTGGGTTGAGTTTTGCACTTCTGTTGATGCACTGACATCACGGCGTTGGTGATCTTTACTTTCTCGTACTATAGATATTAACACTTCTTTGCCCTTTGCGGCAGAATGATCTTGTCCACTTGTCTCCCCATTTTGTATGATTGGTATGCTGACTTCTTTAAAATTTGTGTCAATACCTTTGCTGTTGCCTGTAACTCTACTCAATTTTTGTTGCTTTGTTTCCTGAATTATTGGGATAATAACTTCCTTGGACTTTGCACAAGTAGGATCAGATCCTATCTCCTTCATAATAGGTACAATAAACTCTTTTGGATTCCTACACTCTTGTTTCTTTGTCTTATCTCCAGTAGATACTGTATGAATCGTTTTAGTTTTTTCTATCTGATTCAAGCTAGTCTTTTGTAGCTTACTTTGGTGAAATTCTTTGCTCGATTGCTGATTCTGCCAATCTTTCGCAACTGGTATGATAACTTCTTTATTTCCGTGACCTTCCACTGACTTTTTTGCGCCTCTCCACTCTTTTTCTACTGGTATTGTGAACTCTTTAGCTGGGAGATGTTGATTTTCTGAGTTAGCGATAGCTTCTTTGAGCTTTGAGCACTTTTCTTCCCATGCTTTTGTTATGGGTATGTTATATTCAGTTTTAGCGGGTTTTGATTGTTGCTCAGTGATATCTTCTTTAGTTGGTGGAATACTTGTATCTACCACAACTTCTCCATCCATTTCTTTCACAACTTCTGTTTTTCTCATGCCTTGTATCAAGTCTCTAAATACAGGTATATCTGTTTTACTGTCTAGATCACCCTGATTTACTGCTGTATATGACCAATCTTTTGAGATTGGAATATTCCTTTCTACGTGTATGTTTTTACACCGCTGTAAATCCTCGGTCTCTCTCAGTATATCTATTTCAGTTAAGCTCTTCACACATTCTTCTTTAGAAGGTTTACTCAGTCCTGCAAAACTATCCAGACTTCGTCCAAACCTTCTCACCCTATCATAGGGACTCTCTTTCCATTCCTTACTAATAGGTATGGTTCTTTCTCCAGACATATCTTGTGAATGTGTTCGAACTGAAATATCAGAAGAGATCTTATTAATCATTGCCTCACTAGATGCAAATTTTGAAAAATATTTACTGGATAAGATGTCAGTATATGACACCATGGACTTTGAAGTCTCGGCTAGTTCCTGAAGAATATCGGCACCAAAAGGAAGCTTTAACAGGCATTTGAGACATAGCTCTCTCAGTGTTAGTGGCTGATGGCAATGTTGATGAGTTTCTTCAGCTATGAGAGAAGCTATGTCGGATGCAGATGAGGTGGTAGGATTGTATTTTGCAGTACATAGTGAACTGCCTCTACTTGAGCTACTTGACGACGATCTAGGTGGCGGTGGCGGAGGAGTTAATGAAGTCTTGCCAGTTTTCTTCATTTCAGTCACACTAATGAGCTCCCTTGACTGATGCGGATGTATTTCTTCGTACATGGGTGGACGAGGCGGTGGACTCATTAGATCGTTACTTCTATCCTCTATAAGAACTGGACTCCTAAGAGACATAATCCCACCTTGTTTGATTACATCAGTTTCGTTCATAGTATTACATTTGTACATAGGTGGTCTAGGTGGAGGGCTCATCACGTTTCTTCTTATGAATTCAGCTTTAACAATGTTGCTTTCATTTCTGATATTATGCGTATCATGCAATATAGCATCCTTGCACATTGGTGGACGAGCTAGCGGAGACCCTACATCCGTTATGTTGAGGATAATATCAGCTTCCGAGGAACTAGTTTTATTTACATTTATAGTGTCTTTATTTTCCATGAAAGTTCGAGTAGAATTTTCTTTATGTTCTCCCACCTTATCGACAGGTTTCACCTCGACTACGAGTTCCTCTTCTATATTATTTTCTGCCCTATCATGCTGTCCTCTGGTGATGAGTTTTTCATTCTGTGACGAAAGCTCGCCAGTTGTTTTACTATTTTGCTCCACGGTCCTACTATCACTCTTCTTTACTATTCCTACATTACTACTGGTAACAGTTTTAGTTTCAATCAGTGGATCTTGCTTACTTGGAGGAGGTGATGGCGTTGAATCGTCGAGTGTTTGTTGCATAAAAGCATCGTGGTTAATGCCAACAGATTCTTCTGTTACTAATTCGTTAACAGGAATTTCTGTTTCTCGTGATTCATCTACACTCGACATTTTCGTATTGGTAGAGTTCATTGAGCCTAACTCTTTCGCATTCTTATTTCCATCTTCTACTTTAGCTAAACCAAATCTACGATCTATATCATTTTCTTCCACAATAGCCTTTTTTATTCCAGTCATCGTATTCAACATATCTTCCCTAGATTCTTCTTTTAGAATATTTTTCTTCTCACATTTAAATGTCTGTTCAGTCTTCTTGCAAACATTGACAGTGCTTTCAGTACTTTTCACGTACGTTCGAAGAGAACATTCTTCCTTCTTTTTTATTTGGTGATTGTCAATGAAACGTTTATACATATCTTCTTTGGAAGCATTATTGTATACATGTATAAAGTGATCGTCTTGACGGGTAGATTTTGTATTGGTTGTTTCAGCTGTTTTCTCACTTTTTGGTGACACATCTTCAGGTGTAGGGGGAGGAGTTAATTGAGTGAGTAAGTCTGCGTCAACAGTTTTATTATCACTAATTATGTTTTCAGGCTTACTGCTGGGATTTGCTGCATCTGAGGATACTATAATGTTATTAGAACCTTCCTTTTCAGTGTTAGTACCATTTACCATTTTACTTACAGTCTCTCTTGAGGTATCGTGTTTACTTTCGATTCGATCGTTAGCTTCTCTAAATTCGTTATCTTTGACTTCGTTTTCGTTATTTTCATTTTCGTTGTTCTGTACTTCTAAGGTGGACGTACTAACATCTTCAACGCTACTAGCATTTTCATCACCTAGTACGTAACTATTGCTACTCGTACTATGTTCTTCTGGAGTACTGGTACCAGATGAAAGAAAAACTACCTCAACACCTGAAGCTGCTTCTTCTGTTTGCATTGTGCTACAAATCCCTTGTATATTATCGGTATCGACAATTCTTGCGTCCACTAGTACTGCTTGCTCTTCCGTTTGGTTAAAACGGCTCCTCCTTCTATCTCTATTCGGCCTTGGCGGTGCTTTAGGAGGTAGATCTAACTCAGGAGTACCTTGTTTCAAATGTTTCTTTAGATCAGTCTGTTCTCTGTCACTATCCCTGTCACTAGCTTCTTCACTTATTGCCTCCAGGAACCTTGGGTTTTGACTGATGGGTAGGAAGTACTGTTCAATCTCAGCTTTCTTTCTCGCTTTTCGTTGCTTGATCGACTCGTTGCTTGAAGTTTCATAGACATTCTGTGCAGCTTCCTCTGGGCCGGTAACTAGATTCAAACCTTGGAGAAAGTTTCTTAGAGATTCTTCTTCTTCGACGGACAACAGAGGAGTTGCAGCAATTCGTTCGTAGGTTTCCTGAGGTGTTTCTTCAGGAGTAGCCGATAAGTTTAGTCCTTGAAGGTAGCTTCGTAATGAAGAGTCCTCTTCTGAAGCTGCAGGCGCTGAGGTTTGAGGTTCTTTTTCGAGCTCAGCTTCACTTTCAGAGGCGGCTTCTGTGATGATGACTTGTGCTCCTTTATCCTTATCATCTGCTCCATTGATGTCAGAAAGTTCTTGTATTTTTACCATTTCATCGTCATCTAAGCTTCGGCTTTTAACAGGTTTGTTCGCTAATTTTGAATCTTTACTGAGTTCTTTTGGAGAATGTACTATGTAGTCCTCAATCACTATCTTCACAAAACCTTTCTTACTAATTTCTTCAGTCTTGCTGCTTGTCGATGGTTGATTGCTGTTATCGTTGGTTTCAGTAACATTTTGAGTGTTAGTTCCATTAACCTTACGATTTCGTTTTCTATTCCTTCGTTTTTTGGACTTTGAGGAATTTCTTTGGGAATCGTCCATGCTCTGTTCGCAGCAACTAAAGTATCCTATAGGAATTTAGATGTTTCAAATAGGGAAAAATGGGTAATTCGTCAATGTTCAACAGGTACAATGAACAGCATGGGAAACAGGATTTTATTGTCGTTTTGGTGATTTGGAATTTCGCCCGATAACGAATACGGTTTTCTTGGCTTGCAATCGAGTACGCAAAATTGACTTTTGCCGAGTGCTGACTAAATTGGACTCTATGTACTTCAACTTTAATGACTGTTGCGAGGCGTGCATTTCATAAGACATTCGGTATTTTCAAGCAATGCATTTTATGTGAAAACCTATAAAAATTTCAATGGAGTGTAAGATCTTGGAACTTGAAGAGACTGGAAGGATTGGTTTCCAAACAATTTCAAAAAATATCCGCATGAAATTTTCTCATTTTTTTGTAACAAGAACGCTTTCAAAATTCCTAATGCTAAAATATAAAAATAGGTATATACAGGGTGAGTTTTTACTTTGAAATTGGTCGATAATTCCGTTGTTACGGGCGTTATCTAAAAAAGTTAATTACAAAAACTGTAGGCACCAGTGTGACCCTTATTAGGCAAATATTTATATCTCTACAGGGTCATTCATTACTTCGTAGTGATCCAAACATAAATTTTTTAAACGATAAGCGCTAAATTTATTGCAGATTTCGATAGGCTCTTTAAGCAATGCAATTTGTTACATACTGCGGAGTTTTATTGTCCAATTTGTAAGATATTGGACAATCTATTGAAAAAAAACACCTAACTTTCACAATTAGCAGCTCCTCAACCATTATATTGAGTATTGAGTTTTTTGTCAACTTCATGATCGCATATTTCTTCCCCATCCACCTGATTTTTATTTTTTTTTGATAATTTATACAGGGCAGTCAAGAACGCAAAATGAATTATGTCTCAAGTTCTCAAATGACCATTTTTTATACTTGTATCAGCACGAGAACCTAAGGCCTAAACACCTATGGATAACGTGGGGCTATAGGGGGATACAGCGGACTGAATATTTTCACATTTTTTCATTCACATTTTCACATGCTTTCTTTTGATTCAAGGTTTATGGGGCTTTGAATGACTAGCTCTTGAGTTACAGCATTGATTAGCACGTTGATGTACCATTCACAAAAAACTAAACAGTAAAAATTTTATTAAAAATCGAACAGGCGAATCATCACAACAACAAATATAATTAAAAGTCTAAAAGAAAACTGAATATATCGGCAACGGCATCTTGAACACGGGCATCTAATGCTGAAGTCTGAGAAAGTAATGGACTGTTTTACTTGTCTAGCTCAGTTTAATACTAGAAATATAAAAGAATCAATACTGCATTTACTAAAGACTTAGAGTTTAAGGTAATACAAGACGTTACTGGAGGTACACTTAAATGATACCGAATATTCCGAGAAGGAGGGTTAACATTGGTTAACATTACACTCTAGAATACTGCGAGTATTATACACTGTTGGAGAACTATAGAGGTACAGATGAATGGCATGGTGCTACCTTCCCAAAAATATTAATAAAATGATAAAATAGAAAGATTGTCTCGTCGCTAGACACGCAACAACGACGTTTTGCTGCTTATATTAAACAATAAAACTTATACCCTAAATTGATCCTTCGGCTTTATTGTAAAAAGATGATACATCTGCTTTGTAATGGAAATCTATCCATTCTGACGGTCTACTTTCCATTTATTTTGAGATCAGATTTAAAAAAGATTCTTTGCAAGTCCGTCGTACAAACCCCATGAATCTTATATTAAAAAACTTATGTAAAGGAGAATCGAGAAATGTGAAAATATACAGGGTGTTTCATTTGAAAATTTTGAGAATTTTTTTATCTTGATAACCCTGTGTTAACAATAAGAAAAAACCGAAAAGGTATGTGTATAGGGAGAAAATATGAGATCATAATTTTTAAAATCCCATACTCTAGTTAATAACAGGTGCGCATTGTCAAAATTGAGTATTATTTCAGTTAATTTGTCCAATATCTCAACAAGTTGAAAGTAAAATCCTATAGTATGTATACCAAATCGCTTCTTTTGAAATGGCCAATACACATCTTCAATAAAATGTAGTGCTTTCCATTAAAAAAATGTATTTGGGTCACCGCGTGATTATCAATCACTCTGTATTGTAAGTAAGGAGCGTACTATTGTAATTAACTGACTTAAATAACTTGCGCAATAATGAAGTTATCAAAAGAGTCCACACTAAAAACTCACCCTGTAAGTGATGTTGGACCCCTCGGCGTAGCGACTATGACTACTTCAGAGTTTTGTCACTCACAAAACGGTTTTAACACTCGACACGTGTTTCATTAACTATGTTAGCATTTTCATAGGAAGATTAGGACTATAGTTTTTTATTCAAAAGTTATCATATTTACATTTGCAAGGTTATCCCACGTATGTCCATGTGTGCATTGCATCTTATCGGTACCTAGTAAAAATTATCGATAATACTGATTTACGCAACTTGGACGGCTATGAAAAATGCGCGTATCAATCCCATGAAAAATAATAGTGAGTGTTCATAAACCGTGTCGGACAGAGATTCAAAATTCCACTCTAATTACGCTACTCAATTAGGATCAGACAATAAAACTGAGCAACCTTGAATAAAGAACAAACAGAACAAAGTGTATCAGATTGCCAAAATATACAGTGGGATGTGAGGATGAAGATATGCACTGTTAGGTTTAGGGTGAGCACGTCATGTTTCTAAAAATGTTGGGCAACTTTGACTAGACATCATGTCATGTTCATATCTGATCAGGGTATTCTAATGTTCGGACTTTACACAGCGCACAGTTTTTGTAAAAATAAACAAAAATCTTATGATACTTGAGTTACTAGATCTCGAAATAATATGCAATATGAAATCCGCCACTTCAAAGCATTAGGTGAAAAGTTATGACGTGCATCAGTATGCAGCTCTCTGAGTATAGTTTATTCATTGAATCAAAGCAGTTACGTCACACCGTCAAATAATGACACTGACGCACATGGTTGCCACATTAATTAAAACTACTAGATCCTAGGACGCTTTACAAAATATACTTTATGCTTTCGATGCAAGTATTTACTATAGAAAATTCTCAGAATAAAGACTTACATATAAATAATAGTGGCAAGATATATTTTATTTGAAAGAAGTTCTATCTAGTCACTTGAACTCTCTAAATTGCTATCACTACCTTCCTCATCCACATTTATAATAATTGGTAAAATGTCAGCTTGGTCTAGATATTTTTCTCTTTCCCACCATCTCTGAATGTCGTTTTCAGTATCTGATATACATTTTGACTAAATTTAGGCTCTAACAGTTTGTGAGGCTTTTTGCCATAAATTTATACATTGTTCTACAGTTCTGCCTTCTCGACCCACATGTTTGTTGCATTAGGACTTTGCACTGACCAAACATTTTTAATAGGGTTAAACATGCTATGATAGGGCGATAATCGTATTACTTCATGTCCAAACTGTTCGGCTAATGCATCAACAACATATCTTATAGAAAATGTCAAAACACAGAAAACTGTTACCAACATAAATGTATCCTGGAAATTGAAACTATGCGTACCAATTTAGGAATAATTTGGCATTAAGGTTGGCATTCAAATTTACTAAATATGACGGAACTGCTTTGTTTCAGTGAAAGGATTGTAGGCAAACGAGTTTGTATATGAATTATAATCAAAAAAACGACAACACATTGTCATAGCAGTATTATTTCAAGAGACCGTACCTCCTGGATAGAGGATAGTTATATAGTTTGTTCGCTGTCCACAGACGGTTGACAAGCCCAGACCATGCTGATGAGTAGCACGAAATATCTGTCGAAATCGATATGTTTTAATAACGACCTTGTTGATAGGGTGGTTAACTTAGGGTGAATGTTTTCAAGATACTTCTGATGCTTCGCGAGTGTATCCAGATTATTTTCCCGAACGTTTCCATCTCGCACCGCGCAGGTTTGTTTATCTCCTACAAATGCTATTCGCAGTATCGTCGAGATGGGTATAGTAGAAGACCTAGTCAGCCTACAATGTTTTTAATTTGAGTAATAGTGCAGTAGTCGGAGCGGATATTTTATTGAATCCTCAGAAGGATGAATCACAGATTGAACTTTAGCATATACATGTAAATTTCAAAAAGTAAGAGGTACAAAAGCCAATCTTCAAGTCATCTAAAATAATTGACGTTTTAAAAATATAAGCACCTGAATTTTAAAATTTACTTCTTTTCTTCATATATTAATAAATATGGGATATTTCAGAAATCTGAATCGATAGAATGAAAGCTGAGAACATTTACCGTGGGCACAGAATTTTGCGAGAGTTATCTTGTTGTGTTAGATTTTGCAGAGCGTTGAAGAGGTCGCATCTTGTCACATCACCTTAAAAACCTAATTGAGAAAATTAGCACATTACTCTAAAAAGGGCCTGTTTTAATCATTTTGTCGACATTTTTATGTGCCATAATTTAGCTCATTCAGTCGGTTTTTCCGTATCGTTCTTATTTTGTTCCTTTTATATCAGTAGTTCTTGGCTCAATATATTAAATCAAGTTATTCAATTTTCCAGTTAGACTGGTCTTCAAGCTTAGGGCACTTAACAAGTAAATACCTAAAACATTCAAAAAACCTAATTTCCCCAACAACAAGCATTTTGTTTTCTTTATACCGAAGTAGCCACGTAGATGTGGGCCTAAATACCGGAAGAGGTGACTGCTATAAGGAGCATAGAGACATCTTGTTAATCCGGCTTTTCAACTGAAGGGTTCCGAGACGCTCTGTTAGAGAAGTGTCACCGATTAGTCGGACAGCTCTGCTATGAACATAATCGAGTATGAACAATGTAGTCAGATCGGCAGCACCCCGCACATGTGAGCAGTACTTGATGCTACGTCTTATACATACTGAGGAGCGTATATGCGGAAAAGTGCTTCTTAACCCTAAACAATCAGCCGAGATTCAGCCGCTGCCACGATTGACGGG